CCCTTTGACCTTGACCTTGGAGAGTGACCAACTTTTGAAAAACTTTGACCTTGGCCATAATTTTGAACCGTTGCAGCTAGGGCTTTCATACTTCACATCCTTGTGACAAGACCTTTCTTTGGATACCAACAACTTTGACCCCTTGACCTTGACCTTGGAGTTTGACCTACTTTTGAAAAACTTTAACCTTTGCCATAACTTGTGAACGGTTGATGGTAGTGCTTTCTTGTGAGAAGGCCTTTCCTTAACCATTAATTTTGACCATTTGACATTGTCCTGGATGTTTGACTTACTTTGAAAAAACTTTAACCTTTTCCATATCTATTCAATGATTGCTGCTAGAGTTCTCATATTTCCTCGACACAAGACCTTACTTTGGGTACCAACTATTTGATTTGCATTTGAGAAAGTTTAACCTTTGCTATAAGTTGCCATACGGGGGCATCAGTGTTTCACAAACACATCTTGTTTTTGTTTGTTTTAATTACCACCTTAATGTCTTTATAAAACAAATGAACAGGATTAAAAAAACTCCAATATCAAACATGTCATAATGATAACAATTATTTCTCTAAAGGTTGGTTGCACCGTTTAAATAAACTCTCTTTTCTAAGTTTATGTTTTTCGCCTTTTATAATGTCAATAATTCCATGATTGTAATCATAAAACAGTCCAGGAACAAGAATGGATAGAAAAATGCTTTTAAAAACGATATAAAATTCGTCACTTTTCTAAGATTATAATGTAATTCAAGGCACATTACCAAGATTCTGTATTTAGCAATTTGAATAATTTTGTATTATTACACATGTTACACTTCTACTGATTTTTTTCCCTGTATAACATTAGATCGTTAGATGTGACTTATTCCCTAGAAATCGTTATGAAAGGACTAATCCCCGTACATTAGTCAAGTGAGCTACATGTAATCCCTGCTTCGAAAGCTAATTCCTGGTTATCCGTAATCCTCTAGATTTTACTTTTACATTGGTATGATACGTGAATGGACTAATCCCCATGTGTTAGTTCAGTGAGCTAATCCCTGCTTTGGAATCACGCTATCTGAATCCTCTAAATTTTACGTTTGTATCGTATAATAAAACAGTTAAAAGTATATCATTGCGGGGGTTAGCAAGATTCCAGTTCGCCTCGGGAAATAGTCCTGGTCTTAGGGAACTTGAATCTTGCTAACTCCCTCAATGATATACTTTAACTGTATACTATATACATCGATGCCGATGGAACACGAACTTTGTGAACAGATACTTCTTTGAAACCTTTTATGAAAGCAACGAACTATTTAAAAATATTTGAAGAATGGAAATACCATTATGAAAAGAATATTAATTTTATTTCGAGTATACATGTATCCGTATTATTCATCATTTTTTCCTTGAAGTCAATAATCCACGATCTGTACATTCAAACTTAAAAACGAAACTAGGTTTTTTTTCAGATTATCTCATAAAATATTTTTTTTTCAAATAAAACATCAAATCTATCTAGCTATTGTATATTTTACCTCATGTAATTATCTCTCTACATATCTGAAATCAGGTACTCTCGTTATCCATAATCTGACGGACAGCTAAGGTTCGTATACCTTATATGGCGTCCCTTTGGTAACCTTCACCTTGTTTTTTTTAAATATCCCCTTTACCTGTATGTGTTGAAAATTGATTAGTGTGACCTTATTTCTGACTTCTGTTATAATTATTTTTGAGGAGGGGATCTTCCTTCATAATAAATCTGCTTCAAGTAAACACAAGCTTTAAAAGGATTTAAATTACAACGTGTTATTTCTTAATTAATCAATTAATGAAGGGAAATCTTAGCATGATTGTGCAGTATAGGATCTATTGAATGAAGATTTAAGTGTGGGTTTGTTGAATTGGTACCCTTATTGTTTGGTATTACTATCATCATTTTATTTTATACATCCCCTTCGGATTCAGAAATTTAACTGACATTTGAACCACTGAACGTTACAACAACTACACTGTGTGTTTGTAATGGTATACGTACAAATAGTTTTCCATATTGCCTAGAATTTAATGTGAAACAATGCAAGTATATGTATATACGCCGCATCCATTAAATTCTCTCAATCTGATCGACGACAGAGGATGATGTTGATTCCAAGTGGGCTATTTAAAGATTCTAAAATGCATATCAACTTGGATGATTCTACTTGTACATGTAAAAAAGAAAATAATTTTCTGTAAAACAACAATGGTTTTATTTCACAATAGCTAATACAGTGTATGACTTGATGTTTCTGAAAAAAAATACTTCAACCCTATTCATAATTGTGATGTTCTGTAATAATTGGTAAGACGTAACAATGCCTTGAATGGGGATCCTCCTTTATATCAAAACATATTAGAAATGTTTTTCAAAAATTGATACAAAACATAATAAAACAGATGTAGCCTTTTACATTAGTAAGTATTGATTGTGGTATAGTTTGTACATTTTTATTCAACTTTATTTTGGGCAGAAAATGTTCTTTTTTCAATTATTAGTTCGTATTTTAATTAATGTAAAGTTTGAATTACTATACCACAATCAATACTTACGATAGCTACATTACCTACGATTGCTACACGGAAATGATTATACATATATCCATGCTACTGTTGTAATGAATTGATTAAATCAATAAGTAATTATGATCTTGTACATCTTTTTTTGAAGTTACAGAGAGTGTATATTGTTTTCGTAGATACAGTCTTCTAACTGCTTGTTTCGGATTTGATTTTAATGTATAAAGCTTTGTATTCAAGGGTTGACCAAGATAAAAAGAGTCACACAACATTCTCCAAGGCCAAAAAAAATCTCTTTATTGGTTTTTTTTTTTTCAATATTAAAAGCGACAGGATTGTTATCTCTTTTTCTTGTCAACAATAAAATATGAAGATAGCGAACAGTATTTAAGCTCATAGTCCATTTAAACAATACAAATCGGGGGCAGAACAGACACGGATCTCCAAAAAAAACAGAGGTGGAATCAGGTGCCATGGAGGAGTAAGCATTCCCCGTCGACCGGTCACACCAGCCGTGTGCTCCTTGTCATGATCGGGCAAACGTAGAAATTTCAGTGTGTAAATAATGGCTTAACAACTAGTATGAAAAACCTCAGTCAGCAGTTGCCCCAAAGATAAACTGTATTTGCTGATCCGGTCTTTGTATCGACCATAGAACTTGCGAAATGATGACTTCAAACGAGACTGTTGATATCCTTGTTTCATCAACTTGTTGGTTAATAGCTTGCCTCGTCTTAAAAATTGATCGAACGTAGAGCATGCTCTTGCGTATCGAATCAACTGGGAGACATAAACCCCATATGCAGGTAATAAGGGTATATTGCTACATAAGTAAGGGAAGCTGACTATAAAAAAGTTGAAGTCATCACGTTTTTCATAAAGTTTTGTTCTTAGGTTATCATTAACGTCTTTTTCAGTGGATTTAACTTTTTTGTACTCTTGTATGATTTTATATCTAATTATAACCTTCAAATAACGTTATCCAAGACTTTTTAAATAGCTTACTGAGAATATTGTTACTTGTAACAAGAAACTTGGCTTTTTCTTCGTATGGATGTAAAGGGGAAAAGCTCGATTTTCTTTTCCCTCTTGAACAAGAAGCCAAAAGACCTTAAGGGTCACCTGAGTATAATACAACACTGTAAAGGACCCACTGAAGAATGAAAAACAAAATAAACTGAGAGATGAAGACATGTTGCCCCAAGGCAGGAGAAATAGTATTATCAGGAATCAAAGAAATAGTTTAGTACTCAGTTACAAATCGTGAAGTAGATATATACACTTGCCAGTACCAATATACCCCCATTTGCCACTATCATTGTGCAGACTAAATAATACAAAAGAGCTTAAGAATCATTAAAATTCCCTCACACGTTGGCTTCTCTGGTCTTTAAAGAATATATGATGTACAGATAAGCCATGTTTGTCTAATTTTTATTTAACTAAATTTACAAGTTTACATACATGTATTTCTCTACAATATAAATAGAGCCTTGCCCAGTACCAGAACACTTGACCCAGTGGTCCAGAATTTCACAAACCTAATAAAAACACCCTTGTTCATTACAACTTTGTACTCTTTTATTTGCCTTCTAGATAACCAGAAAAAATGAGAATAATTTTAAAGAATTAATGTATTTCCACCATATTCTGGCAATCAATAGAGCCCCTTCTTGACATAATGAAAACCCGTGACCCAAAGCCTTTAAATTTTACAGTTTTTGAAGAGGCATCCTTGCTCATCATAACCATACACTTAGTTTGTTTGCTCACTACCTAGGAACAGACAAGTAAAAATTTTAAAGAATTTCTGAATATCAACAGAGCACTCCCCGAACACCAGAACCCCTGGCCAAAGGAGCCATGAATATTACAATTTTGGAAGAGACACCCTTGCTTATCATGACAACGCAATTAGCTTGATTCATAACCAAGAGCTGAGAAGACTTTCAAAGAAATAATGCATTTTTACTGTGACTCAAAGAGCACCATCCTAACTCCAGAATCCCTGTCCAAGAGGCAATGAATTTCACAATTTTGGTAGAGGGCTCAATGCTTTAAAGTTAGTGCAGTCATGTAGACAGTTAAACTGCTTGATAAGCAATAGTAAAAGAGAATATTTTTTAAATAGTGCATGAATTTTGATGGTTTTCGCTCAACCCATGTCATATGGGACGGGGACCATGAAATTTACAAAATATTAATGTTGTTTTTCTTCACCCATAGATGCCATATGCCAAAACTGGATAGAATAGGTTCAGTGATTCCAGAAAAGAAGCTGAAATTGTTCATAAAATGTTCAAATTAAAGCAACACAGACAATGCACAATCATGAGACAAAAACAGGTAACAATGTTACCTGAGCGTTTAAGGTAACCTAAAAGTCGAAAATTGAGTTATTCCTCTTGTCAATATGTGATTGTAATTACATGTACAGACAAAAAAAAATGCATATAACATTCATGTTTATTTTGTATTTGAAACTCAAATAAATATGAGACCCAGCTATACAAAAATAATAAAGATGCTGAAAGGACGGCAGATGATTTAGATCTACAACATAGCATTCTGAAAAGACAGACTTTGCACAATGATAAATGTAACTATATATATATATACAAGTATAAAGTTTATATGCCTAGTTCTTTATCACAGATGCAGCTACATATTTTTTTTTAAAGTCAAATGAAGTCACATTGAGAGATAAGGTTACTAAAATCATTACAGTGGAAATGCACTTATTCAAGTACAAATGCATGGGACGGATGAGGAGTCCGAATGCCCTCCAATTTTTTCAGAGGTATACAATTCATTTATTTTTACTTTCATCATTATTACTAACTATATTTCTATGCAGTTTCACTTGTAATACATGCACATGTATTATCATGTAAACTACTTCTAGCCACATTTGCCTCTGTCACTTTCATTTCATATTTTTTAAGATAGAACATTCATTATAATAAACAAAGCTATCTCAACTTTTACAATTATATTTTCTGAAGAAGGACATATAATATGACAGAACATTCTCCAAGACAATAATTCCAATTCCTTCCTTGTAGAGACACTATCTCACACCAAGTTGTTGAAGTCGCTCCTCATATAAAATGTTCTTTTCAAGAGCCTGCTTGTAGTTGTATTTTAAATCTTCTATTTCCTCAAAGAAATCTGGACCAAAGTTAGATAACTCTTTCTTTAACTGAAAAATTAAAAGAACACAGATGTACTACATGTACTTAAAATTGTGAATGAAAACTAAAACCTTAAAGAGGGACAACGTTCTACTTGACTTTTACATGTAGAGACATTTAGCCTTAGCCGATTTCTGGATGGTATCTTGTCAGTGTTTCCAAAAAATTAGGATAAACATTCTTATTTTGCATACTTGAAGTGTCACCCATTATAAATTATACAAAACCATACAACATTCATCATCTCCATTTCCAGTAAAAAAAAACCCAAAACCACACCAACATGGGGCGCCAAAATGTCACAGTTGGTGAAAAACCAAGTCTCAACTGGTACTCAAACCCAGGGCCTTTGGCATACTGTGCCAGCGCTCTAACCAACTGAGCTATTGAGACCCCATATATTGACCGACTTTCACACACCTGTAAACCCATTGACATCAGTTTATATTTGGCCTTCTCTACCATACACTACTCATCCTTTCCATTTCTCTACCATACACTACTCATTCTCTTCATTTCCAGTCAGTATTAGTCTTTTTCCCTCTCTACTGTGTGTACACTAATCATCCTCTTTATTTCCAGTCTATATCTGTCCTTCTCTACCATACACCACTCATCCTCTCCATTTCTCTACCAAACACTACTCACCCTCTCCATTTCCAGTCTATATTTGTCCTTCTCTGTCTCCACTGTTCGTAGCTGCATTTTGATTTCCACATTTTCATCCATTAATCTGTCGTAGGCTGTAACCTTGGTTATTACGTCACCTGATAACTGTTAGAATGAAAAGAAACTCATTTTAGGGCTAGAAAAGGCAAGGCTGTCCAAGCTGGTGACAATTAACATTTAAAAATTGGTGACTTTGTAGTTTTAAATAAAATAAGGTAAAGATAATTGAATTCACATGGAATGGTACAAAATTTAAATAATTCAAACAGTATTACTTATTTGAGCAATTATCTGCATTAAATCTCTACAGAGACACTGTTCCTTGCTGTATCTCTAATTCATTCTAGCAAAATTCATATACACTAACATTCCAAGCCTCAATGCTGAATAGAAGTATAGCTTAGGGAATTTAATTTTTACCTACAGTCCCTGAAACGTTCTACTTTCCCATTTTTCCGTTCGCTCACCGTTCGTTCAGCGTGCGTTCACCATTCGTTCAGCGTGCGTTCACCGTTCGCTCTCCGTTCAAAGTTTTGCGTTCACCGTTCACCGTGCGCTCGCGTTCACCGTTCACAAAGCGTTCAGCGTTCGCTCTTCGTTCCGTTCACTTTGCGTTCATCTTGCGTTCAGCGTTCACCTATCGTTCAGTTTCCATTGTCATTCGGAACTCCGTAGTGAAAGGACTTATCTTTTTGTAGGGAAGGAGTTACAGGTTTTTTAATTAATAACTAACATATCGTGTTTGAAGAATCATTATTTCATGTTGAAAAATATTTACGATATATATTTTAATTATTCTAACTTAGCTGTTAGGTTATTTATTAAATTACTCTGGAAAATAAATGTTGTTATAAGCACATTCTGTACCTATGTAGAACGATGCTGAAATATTAAATTTAACTAAGGGCAATGTGCAAATACTTCAAGCACTGCAACATTTTGTTGTTTTGTTAAAGACGACAAATCGTTAATGGTGATATAATTATCCAAGTCAAATAATTACGCAGCAAAATTACGAAAATATTTATTTCTTATATGTTTTTTTTTTTTCAAATACTACAGAAAATATGATAGAACTAGTTCTGAGAGTTATACATAGTACTGCGGATATCCTGTTATTTTATTATCTTTGGAGCGAATTAAATTGATAGTGTGGTTAAAGGAAATATTTATTTGAAATGTACTGCAATACAGAATTTTCTCTACTATAATATGGAAAGTCTATAGTTATAGAGAGAAAAAAATTCTTTCTTCACCGTAACTTTATATATTTGCCATTCAATATGATTAATACCCCCCCTTTTCCCCCTAGATTGGATACTTAGTCAGTACTGTATTTCCAGAATATTTTAATTAACATTTTTTTTAAAGTTAAGGTCTTTTTTAGAACAAAAATTTCAGTCTCAAAACAAACATGCATCTAAAAAAGTCACAAAACAATAGTAGTTCAAAATGTACACGTGTCGGCGTTGGTATTTGAAATTGGCAGAGAGTATGTTTCAAATTCAAGTGTTAATGCCCAATGTATTTTATTCATTTATTATTCAAATGTTTGGATCAAATCTAGAAATGATAAAAATAGATGTTATAACTTGTTGGAAATACTCGCACTTCGTCTTCGATGTGACGAAACTTTCACACCTGCATAGTGTCGAATGACTTTGATTGACAGGTCAAGCACGTGGACTTCGTGTGAACTTGAAGAAGGAAAATAAAAAAGAATATGACTGTCAAACAAATGGATATTATGATTTGTTGATAAAAAAAAAGTTACTTTCACTGTCTGATATATTTAGAAAAAAAAGAGTTTTTGTTTGATATAGGTACAAACATTTAGTGAAGCCCGAAAGGAGGGGGGGGGGTCTAAAACGGAATATTTCTCTCTCTCTCTCATTTGTCTGTTTAATAAAAACTATAACAGCATATTACTTAAATATCAAGTTCTGAAAATTGAATTTATAACAAATGATATGAATGTGTATCTTTGTATTATCTTGAATGTGTATCTTTGTATTATCTTGTCCAAGTATAACCACGGCCATCTACATATACATGTAGAAGTCAGCTCAATAAATCATCATGAAAAATAGAAATGACACATAATATATAATTGTATTAAAAATTTAAAATACGAGCGTATAAATGCAAAACATCCACTTACCTTTGTAATTAATTTTTTTCATTACTTTACACGAAATCGCCCTGACACGGAGATGTATGAATGGATGTTACAACCACTTTAATTCATTCTATAAATCAGAAGTTTTCTCTGATTTATTTATACTTCAGCGTTCGGCAACAATTGCAATGTTTTAATGCGATAAAAATCGTGTGATTAAAAACTTAATGTGCATGCATCGTCTTTCTTAGGACAATTTTGGAGAATTTATTTTATTGACTTATTTATTCATTCATTTATTGGTTTACCTATTTATTATTTATTTTATTTTATTTTTTGGCACCTGACATTATAATACAATAAAATAGTTTCAATGCAAGGAAAAGATTAGAGGCATTCCGAATAAATCGTTCATCTTGCGTTCACCGTTCACTTTGCGCTCGCGTTCCGTTCGCGTTCTGCGTTCGCTCACCGTTCAGCGTTCACACATCGTTCACCAAGTTGCGTTCAGCGTTCACACATCGTTCACTCACCGTTCGCTCTGCGTTCGTTCAGCGTTCGTTCACCGTTCGTTCAGCGTTCGTTCAGCGTTCGCTCACCGTTCAAGTGGGAAAGTAGAACGTTTCAGGGACTGTATATCTTTACATCCTACTATTTGTACATGTGTACATGAATTATTTACAGGATAAACATTGTTGTCTTATTTTACCTGAGTCCCTCTATACATGTACATGTATTATTTACAGGACAAACATTGTTGTCTTATTTTACCTGTGTCCCTCCACCTTGCTGCTTGTATATCTGAAGTTCATGCTGTATCTCTTTCTTCTCATTCTCCAATCGTCCTATAGTCAGTCTGGCAACAGTGTGAAGAAAACAAAAGTAAATTTCAATTTTATCATCAGGATATAAAATACAATTTTTATTAAGAAGACATAATAAATTTTAGCACAAAATTTACACGAGTTAACCTACTTTAAATACTATAAACAATAGTGTTATTAACTAATTCAATTTCATTTGTGGAAAAACAACTCTATTGACTCAGTACCTGGCTTGTTGGAAATCTTTTGTTAAACCCATATCTGAAGTTTTAGCACCATGAGGATATTTTTCCAAGATAGCATTCTGAAAAGGGAGGTAAACTGACTTTAAACATTAAATGTGGTCTAAATTTTCTGAGTGTTTAAAAATCTGGTCTTAAATATAATAAACAGGAACATAGTTTCTAGAACTGCCATATCTACCATGAGTAATTAACATTGATACTTAATTACATTATATACCTGGAATTCTCTATGGAAGAAGTATACCTTACCTTCTGTTTGAGAGCCTGGTTCTCTGTCAGTAACCTCTGTTCCCTCTCTGCTGCCTCCTTCAGTAAAGTTTTAGTATCACTCAGTAACTTGTTCTACAAAACAAAAATACAGAACATTCTTGTTTTAAATCAGATTATATCTATTTTTGCAAAAGATCTAAAATGTTAAAAATCTTGACCAACAAAAAATATTTTATTGTGATGCATATTTACAGTATCTTGTAATTGCTTTGGACTCAGGATTTCTATGATAAAATATGAAGTTTAAGATTTCAGAAACAGAAAAAAATCACCTCCTAGTCAACAATATTGATAAAATTTGAAGGCATTGAAATGAGTATAGCATATACTCCTTGACTGTATCCTATATGTACATTTATACCTTGAGCCTTCTTACATGTAAAAAGCTCATAAGAGTTATCTACCTTTTTCTCCATTTCTTTCTCTAGATCTTTCAGTTTCCCCTCATACATCCTGGTGACCACAGCAGACTTCCAGCCCTTGGAGTCCATGGTTCCAGATCCACCTGGACGTTCTCGCTCCAGTCCAGTCATAGACTTGGAATCCTGGAGCTGGCTGTTCAATTGTTCCTTCTGTAGCTCCAGATTCCGGATCTCCATTCTTAACTTCTCATTGGACTCAATTTCCTGCAATATTAGCAGTTAAGTAACAAACAAGTCACATTAAACACTCACCAAGTCATATATATAAATACATTACATAGCACAGCCCCTTGTCAATCGAGACAAAGACACATTTTTCTTTATTTCAAATTTTTGTCAAAGTTTCTGGAACAATTACAATTTTAGTCTTGCAAATTAATCATATTACATAAATATTTCATCTCTGTTTTGATAGCCCTTGACTTGGAGATAAAGTTTATATATGTAATTTGTATTTTCTTATTTCCATACCTTCATGAGATCTTTCCTCATTTTCTCGTAGTCTGTCATCATTTTGGCGGTACCCTTCTGTGTGGTGGTGTACCTCTCACTAAGTGTGGCACCCATTTTCATTCGCAACTCCTCCAATTGATCCTGAAAATGTAACATCATTTACTGTAAATATAACACTGTATAACATTTTTTTTCTGTGTATCATATTTCTTGCATAAATATTCCAAAACACCACTAATTTAATTCTTCATGGTCCTATGTTTGCAATTCTCCAAGTGGTTTATTTGATTTTTCTATATGGTAAATAACTAATTTTTTGCGATCTTAAAAAAACTCCAGACATAGCAAAAATTGGATTATCATGAAAAATACCCATTATACGGTAGTGAGGGACTCTCTGACGAAAATTTAGTCAAGGAAAGAGAAAGGGTGAAAATATTGGCTCAAACACTCTTCTATACTTTACAAAGCTTAATTCTTACAAAAACATCCACTTTCAACACTGTATAAACATAATTTTGTTGCTTTTACTTTTCATATTCATATCATTTGATGTCCATATAAAAACAAACCTTGAGTCCAGCATTTTCCAGCCTCAGTTTTTGCAGTTCCTCATTCCCTGCGATGTGGGCAGCTTTCTTTAATTCTTCATTCTCCAACTGTACACGCTCTACAACCTTCTTCAGGAGGGCTATTGTCTTCTCTAATTCTCTCACACTTTTCCCACTATCCCCAATCTGTTCATCAGAAAGTAAAGTTCTCAATGTGATAAAACATTTTACACTAACTGTTTTCCCCTACTGGTATTTGCATGCAATATTCATATCTACAACTTATGTGTTATTTTTTGTTAATTGGAGAGTCTAATTACCCTTCTGATCCCACTGGAGCCTGACGAGTCAAAAGATCTGGCTGTGTTCCCTCCAAGTTGCGAGTTTTCCTGTTTAAGGGCCTCCACATAACTCTGAAGATCTGCTATCCTTTCCTACAAACCAAAGCAGAGGCTACATAACAGTGATAGAGACTAGAGAGAAGAAATTCTTTAAACATTTTGCTTTTTTGCAAAGAGAATGTAAAGAAAATAACTGTTAGTATATGTAATTGTAAATGTTACCTTAAGCCTTGGAGCATCTTTCCTGTACTGCTCATTCTCAAACTTGAGTTCAATATTTTCCTCAGACAGTGCTAGCATTTGTCTCTGTAGATTCTGATTCTTTTCAAAAATGACCTGGAATTCCTTGGTAGACACTCCTGTTTGATCCGCTCCTGGTTGTGTAGAGGTGACGGACACTTTCTGTGCCACTACTTGTTCCATGGACTCCAGCTGTTCTGTCAGGTATTTATTCCTGACCTCCACCTCGCGTACCGCCACATCTTTAGCCAGAGTTAACTCCCTTTGTAACTTGGTTACCTGAAAATAATAGCAAGGAATTCACTCAGAAAATCACACAAGTATTCTAGATTAGGGTAAAACATGTTGTGTTTTGGGAAGAAAAATAATTTCATCTTCAGTAATTAAGGAGAGTTTCAATGTAGTAAACTGGTGTTTACAAATTGTTCAACAGATACATAGTACCCCATTTAACAATGTTTCTTGGTTTAACTGTCATCTGTAACCAAAGTTTTATATCTATTTGTCCATTTGACTGATTACCTTATCCTGAAGCTGATAGTTCCTCGTCTTGAGTTCCTCCACTACATGGTCAGGTTTGTCTGAGGGTCCCCGGGGGGCTGGTACTGGGCCTCTCTGGGCATTACTTAACTTCTTCTCAGTCAGGTCTTTTTCTCTAATAGCTCTGTACAAACATGTAAGATTTAACACAATGAATTAATGAAGCATAGTTTAACTCCTGCACATTGGCTATTTATGCTTTTTCCAGCCCCCCTCAATTTTGAGATAATTAAGTTTGACTGTATTTCTTAAGATTTTGTGTGGATGTACATGCTCTCTCTCTCTCTCTCTCTCTCTCTCTCTCTCTCTCTCCTCTGACCTGTCTAGCTGATCCTTCAGAATCCTATTTGACTTTTCCAGCCTCTCCACTTCAGCCTCTTTCTCTCTCACAGCCATCCTCATTTTCTCCACAGTTTTCTGCCATTTCTTTTTCTCCTCCCATTTTACTAATTCTTCCGACTGGAAATACATGTTAAAGAATTTTGTGACTCCAAAAATTGAGATTCTGTTAGCACAATGACTTTTATAAGTTCCTATAATAAATGTTGGATCTGCAAGCATTATCTTCCTTTGAGGTAACTCTTTATCGTTAGAAGTTTCATCCTTTTTCACTTAAAAATTTTCATGAAGTCTTGTCCATATACCTATTTGATTTATTATGTAAGAGTTACCTTTTCCTTGGTGAGCTCTTTAATGGGAGGTGTTTCCTTGGAGATCTCGTACGGTTTTTCTGGCTGCTGTTGTTTACGTTTGAGTTCCTCCTCCAGCATCCTCACCCTCCTCCTCATCTCCTCATACTCCTTCTGTTTGGTCTCCTCACCTATCCTCTGTAAGTAAATACATTATACACTGTACATAATACAACAGAAATATCCTCATTTCATATTCCTTCTGTTTGGTCTCCTCACCTATCCTCTGTACAATAAGTAAATACATTATACACTGTACATAATATAACAGAAATATCCTCATCTCATACTCCTTCTGTTTGGTCTCCTCCCCTATCCTCTGTAAGTAAATACATTATACACTGTATATAATACAACAGAAATATCCTCATCTCATATTCCTTCTGTTTGGTCTCCTCACCTATCCTCTGTAAGTAAATACATTATACACTGTACATAACATGATAGAAATATCCTCATTTCATACTGCTTCTGTTTGGTCTCCTCCCCTATCCTCTGTACAATAAGTAAATACATTATACACTGTACATAATATAACAGAAATATCCTCATCTCATACTCCTTCTGTTTGGTCTCCTCCCCTATCCTCTGTAAGTAAATACAGTCCCTGAAACGTTCTACTTTCCCACTTGAACGGTGAGCGAACGGTGAACGAACGCTGAACGAACGCAGAGCGAACGGTGAGTGAACGATGTGTGAACGCTGAACGCAACTTGGTGAACGAAGTGTGAACGGTGAACGGTGAGCGAACGCAGAACGCGAACGGAGCGCGAACGCGAGCGCAAAGTGAACGGTGAACGAACGGTGAACGCAAGATGAACGATTTATTCGGAATGCCTCTGATCTTTTCCTTGCATTGAAACTATTCTATTGTATTCTTATGCCTGGTGCTAAAAAAATAAATAAATAATACATAAATAAACAAATCAATGAAAATTGTCCTAAGAAAGATGATACATGCACATTAAGTTTTGATAACACGATTTTTATCGCTTAAAACATTGTAATTGTTACCGAACGCTGTAGTATAAAAGATAAAATTAATCTAGTTGTAAAATAAATATGTTTATTCTTAATTGATAAATAATGATCAAATAATGTGGATTTTAGAAGAGAAAACTACGGACTTATAGAATGAATTGCAGCGGTTGTAATAACCATACATATATTTCCGTCCAAGGCGATTCCGTGTAAAATAATGAGAAAAAAAATTAAAATATCTTACAAAGGTATGTGGGCGTTTATTGCATAATTAAACGAGTATTTTAAAATTTTAATGCAATAATATATTTATCTGTCAGTTTTATTTTTTTATGATGATTTATTGAGTAGACTTCTACATGTATCTGTAGACATTTCCCGGCTGTGATTATACTCGGACAAGATGATACAATACAAAGAGGCATTCATATTTTTTGTTATAGATTAAATTTTTACAACTTAATATTTAAGTAATATGCTGTCATAGTTTTTATTAAACAGACAAATGAGAGAGAGAGAGAGAGAGAAAGAAAGAGAGATTCGGTTTTAGCCCCCCCTTTCCTCAAATGTGTTTGCCTATATCAAGCAAAAATTCTTAATTTTTTTCTAAATATATCAGGCAGTGAAAGTAACCATTTTTTATCAACAGGTCCATTTGTTTTACTGTCATAATCGGTTTTTATTTTCCTGCTTCAAGTTCACACGAAGTCCACGTGCTTGACCTGTCAATCAAAATCATTCGACACTGTGCAGGTGTGAAAGTCTCGTCGCACGGAAGGCAAAGTGTTAGTATTTCCAAGAAGTTTTAACATTTTTTCTTATCATTTCTAGATCTGATTCCAACATTTCTAAAAAAAAAAAGTAATAAATGAATAAAATACATTGGGAATAAACACTTGGAATGATTAAGCCGCTTGAATTTGAAACATGCTCCTTGCTAATTTAAAATATCACCGCCGGCACATGTATATCTTGAATTACTATTGTTTAATGACTTTGTTTAGATGCATGTTTGTTTTGAGACTGAAGTTTTTGTGCTACAAAACACATTAACGTCTTTATAAATGTTAATTAATTAAGATATACTGGAAATACTAACGAAGTAACCGATTTAGGGGAAAAGGGGGGGGGGGCTCTTAATCATGTCGAATGGCAAACATGTAATGTTACGGTGAAAAATATCATTACTGGAGAATCACCTTGGTTATGTTAATGATAATCATGTTATAAAGGCATTTCTCTCTCTCTCTAATTAAAGACTTTATATATGTAAAGTAGAAAAAAATTCTATAATGTATTACATTTTAAACAGATATTTTTTTTTTTAAACCACACTATCAATTTAATTCGCTCTAAAGATATTTAAATAAACTGGATATCCGCAGTACTCTTTATAATTCTCAGAACTAGTTCTAACGTATTTCTGTATTATTTTTAAAAAATGTGTTAGAATTAAATATTGTATTTTTGCTGCAGTTGGTAAATTAAATGACTCGATTATTATCTATCCATTAACGATTTGTCGTCTTTAACATAACGACAAAATGTCGCAGTGCTAGTATCTGTATTTTGCCCTGTATTTAGATTAAATTTTTCAGCATCGTTCTACATAGGTACATGTACATACACTGTACATGTACTTATAACAACATTTATTTTCCATATAAATTTAGTAAATAACCTTAGAGCTAAGTTAGGATAATAAAAATAAATACTATAGATAATTTTTTTCCCCATGAAATAATGATTCTTTAAACACGATATGTTAATTATTTAATTCAAAACCTGTAAATCCTTACTTTAAAAAAAGATAAGTCCTTCACTTCGGAGTTCCGAATGACAATAAAGACTGAACGATAAGTGAACGTTGAACGCAAGGTGAACGCAAAGTGAACGAACGAAGAGCGAACGCTGAACGCTTTGTGAACGGTGAACGCGAGCGCACGGTGAACGCTGAACGCAAAACTGTGAACGGTGAGCGAACGCTGAACGCACGGTGAACGAACGGTGAACGCACGCTGAACGAACGGTGAGCGAACGGAAAAATGGGAAAGTAGAACGTTTCAGGGACTGTACATTATACACTGTATATAATACAACAGAAATATCCTCATCTCATATTCCTTCTGTTTGGTCTCCTCACCTATCCTCTGTAAGTAAATACATTATACACTGTACATAACATGATAGAAATATCCTCATTTCATACTCCTTCTGTTTGGTCTCCTCCCCTATCCTCTGTAAGTAAATACATTATACACTGTATATAATACAACAGAAATATCCTCATCTCATATTCCTTCTGTTTGGTCTCCTCCCCTATCCTCTGTAAGTAAATACATTATACACTGTACATAATACAACAGAAATATCCTCATTTCATATTCCTTCTGTTTGGTCTCCTCACCTATCCTCTGTACAATAAGTAAATACATTATACACTGTACATAACATGATAGAAATATCCTCATCTCATACTCCATCTGTTTGGTCTCCTCACCTATCCTCTGTACAATAAATAAATATATTATACTCAGGGGTGGATCATGGATTTTAATTTAAGAGGCGGCACCAGCTCATTATATTAGGCAGAGGGTCCTGGGGCTGCCCAGCACCCACAGTGTATCCAGGGTGAAGGCCCCGGAAATCCTGGGTTCTTGAGATTTAGTGCATCAAAAATGAAGTTTTCTTTGGAGATTTTTTGTACAATTTCTTGTCCTCATGATTATAAAACTGTGAATATTTCAAAGTCTGTGAAAACAATTATTTGTTTATTATCTGAACATTGGGTATACCTGAGTGCCCATCTTGCCCATTCTCTCCACTTTCTTTTCTAGTTCCTCCACTTCCATCTCTAACCTCTCTTTGTCTGACTTGTATCTCCGCAGGTTTTTGTCTTTCCGACCTGTCAAGCAATTCAAAATAAAAGTAGGCTATATAATGGATTTTCTTGTGTATATAGAACAACTACTGTGACAAATTTTTTTCCTAGCCTAAAGATGTACAGCAAAACTTGTTTAATCAGGATGTTGTTTATTCCAAAGTCTTGCCTATTACAATGTAAACTTCCAGTCTCTTTTAGTAAATTCAATTGTTTACAATGTCATCAAATCAGTAATGTCTAACCGTTATGTTTTCGGGGGGGGGGGGGGGGGGGGGGGGGGGGCATAAGAGAGTTTGCAGTTGATAGTAAGAAACCTATTGTTACTGACCTATTTCCTCTCTGAGATCATCAATATCTGTCTGTAGAGTGGCTTCTGTATCTTTCCGTTTCTTGATCTCCTTTCTCTGTCTCTCCACAGTCAACTGAAGATCATCCACCTTCTCCTATTCAAATCAACAACCACAATTCTTACAAGACAATTCAGATAAAGCATTGAATTGTATCCTTGAATTCTTTGCACTCATCTTGCTAACAGCATTTACATTCAACTTCCTTTCAGAGTGTCTACAATTTCATCTTATATTTCATCTCCATGTAATATAGCACTTACATTTAACTCCCTTGTGTGTGTGTCTACAATTTTCTGGATGTTGATTTCCTGTTCTGATTCAGTAGCTTGGTGTTTCACGGTCTCTTGTGCCTGTTGAACCATGTCTGCCCTTAGTTCCGTTAGAGCTTTACTGAGGGCCTGTCAAGAAAAACATTTCTAGATTAATCTATCATAATTTTTTTTCAATCAAATCTGCAATACCAAATATGCAAGAATTTTGCAATTCTTTACAATTATGACTTTCATGAAACATTTATTTCTCTAAACCTACCAATTACATGCGTCAAAAAAAGAGATTTTCTGCAATATATGTGTAATTTCAATAGCATCTTGTTTACACGTAAAATTTAAATGTTTCTAAGACAAAGTAGCCCCTCCTACCTGGTGTTGTTTCTCCTTTAGAGCCAGCTGATTCTTCAATCTCTCCACCAGGTTTTTCATTGTGGTCGTGGGAGCTCGATTGTTCTGCTCTGTGACCACCTCAATCTCTTCATTAAGTATCTCAATTTCCCGTTTCTGCTGCTCAATGATTTTCTTCAGATCCTGGACTTCAGAGTCTTTCTTCTGTGCTTCAGTCTTCATCTCTGATCCTAATCTATAAATGAGATTTTAAAAAAAAATGTTTTTGAGAAGGGGGACAAAGGGAAGTCTTTAATGCATAAACTGCTCTCTCCATTAAAATATATTTTGATACAAAACAAAACAACTTTTACTTGATCTGCATATAACTGTTTTGAAATAAATACAGTTTTCATAATGTCTGTTCATCTAGTGTCCTTGCACAAAATATGCACTAAATACACCATACAAATACACACATGTACATGTATCTTTGCCCTCAGAGAAATGTCCTGCCCTTGTATTTAAATGTAGTTAATGTGTCTAATATCTAGATATGTCTGTACTGTACATATTCTCTTATCACTTTCCAGACTGCATATGTTCACAAGACTCAGTTTGTTGGCTATGTTGGCTATGCTGTACATATTCTCCTATCACTTTCCAGACTGCATATGTTCACAAGACTCAGTTTGTTGGCTATGTCTAAACATTCAACTGCTTTACATGTCAAGTACTACCTGATGGAAACTGTCTAATTAGTATACATATTATGTCATAGTCCTTTATCAACAGAAAACTGTTTTCACTTTTACCTTGGTCTGTTAATGTCTATACACCTTTTCTCAATATTCTCTGTTTAATTATACCTGTCTTTGTCCATAGAGAACTGCCTGGATTCTTGCTGTAGTTTTGACCTCTGTTTATTTATAAGACATACCTGTCTTTGTCCATAGAGAACTGCCTGGATTCTTGCTGTAGTTTTGACCTCTGTTTAGTTATAAGACATACCTGTCTTTGTCCACAGAGAACTGCCTGGATTCTTGCTGTAGTTTTCCCCTCTGTTTAGTTATATGACATACCTGTCTTTGTCCATAGAGAACTGCCTGGATTCTTGCTGCAGTTTTCCCCTCTGTTTAGTTATAAGACATACCTGTCTTTGTCCACAGAGAACTGTCTGGATTCTTGATGTAGTTTTGACCTCTGTTTAGTTATAAGACATACCTGTCTTTGTCCATAGAGAACTGCCTGGATTCTTGCTGTAGTTTTGACCTCTGTTTAGTTATAAGACATACCTGTCTTTGTCCATAGAGAACTGCCTGGATTCTTGCTGTAGTTTTGACCCCTGTTTAGTTATAAGACATACCTGTCTTTGTCCATAGAGAACTGCCTGGATTCTTGCTGTAGTTTTGACCTCAAACTGATTATTTCTTCCTCTCTTTGTCTGATTTTTTCACTCATAGCTGCCATTGCATTGTCCTGCTCTGCCAAACTGTCCTCTAATTCCTGGATTCTTGCAGCCTGATGAAAAGAAGCCAAGAATAGATCATGAACAAAGACACACATCATGCATTACATTCAATGATGTTAAAATCTTGTGAAACAAGCACAAACCCTCAAAAAGTGATTTACAAAGAAATTATCAACCAGTATTTACCTGTTTTTCTGTAGCGGGTTGTCTGAGTTGTTGTTTAGCCATCAGGTCCCGGGCGGCATCTTTGAACTTGTTAAACGCGGCATCAGTGTTCTGATGAATCTTGAGCTGCATGTTCTTGAGATCTTGTTCATGTCGTTTGTTCATGTCCTGCATATCATCACGAGCCTGTTTCAGAAGCTCCTGGTATTTAGCAATTGTCTCTTCCTTCTGTTGGATCCTGGCCTGGAATAAAACAACAACATTCTACTGTACATACTATTCTCAAAATAGTAAAATGTTAACTCTAAATATATTAAAACTAACAGAAGTTTTACACTAGTCTTGTTTCTTAAACAAACACAGTAAAATCTTGTTATAGAAAATTCATTGTGCCAAAGAATAATTTGAGATATATGATGATTTGAGAGATAAAAGTTAAGATACAAAACATGGCTGGGACTCCCAACTCACTTTAACACATGCAAAGTGTTCAAGATACAGTAGTTCAACTGAATATACTGTTGAGCTAGTATTCCGGTTTACTACATAGTGGATCAATACAATTACACTTGTACCTGTAAACTGGATATGGTTGACTGAGCAATCTTTATGGAGTCTTCGGTTTTGTAGTTTTTCTCCTCTGGTTTCTGAGTCATGGCAGCATTTACTTTTGAGGTGGCTCTCAGAATGATCTCGTCTCTTTCAGCTGTGGCAGGCATTCTTAATCTCAGCTCCGAGATGAGTTTATCTTGAGCTATAACAGTCTTCTCAGCTTCATGGAGTTCTTTTTCCAGCTGCTCATTTCTCTGATAAACAAAGTCAAAAGAACAATGTCTAAAGATATTAACCTTAGAACCAACAGAACTTTTACAATAATTTTGAGATACAATTGTCTGCATTTTTTTTTTCATTTGTGGAAAATCATTTCACAGATTTATTTCTGACAATTTCCTTTTTTATTTCTTGATTTTATTTTCAATGAGATTTTTATTGGCATTTCTAAAATACTAATTTGATTTAATTTAAAAATAGATTCAGCTAGTTATAAAACTCACAGATAAAAAAAAAATTATTTTTTCAAATATACTGCAAGTCTTTGAAAATTTTGGAAAATTTGCTTATTAGCCATTAGATCCTACCTTTTTGAGTACTTTGTTTTCCCCCTGTGTATCCAGAATGACCTTGACATTACTTTTAATGGTGGTAATGGCCTGCTCTAATTGGTTGGCTACAGGAAGTTTGGAATCCGGGAGTGAGCCCAGGGCCTGTTCAAACTGGAAAACAAACAGGCTTGATGAAAATGAAGTCAACATTTAAATAGTCATACATACAACCTGAGATTTTCTTAACTTATAAATGAAAAACATGCAACTTTTCATGCATATACAAGTGAGATGACATTACTCTAAGTCTGCGATGGTAGCCTCATTATTTCTGATCACTCCTTCCAAATACTTTATCTACATGTTAAAAGGATATAAAAGTGTAAATAAGACATTCATTTTTAAAAATTCTATAGACAGACAGACATAAGTTTAATGTCCCTCCCTCTGGTTACAAACCTCCCCCGTCCCTTACCTGACCCTGTAGTTTACTATTAAGCCACCTCTGTTTCAGTTACTCTAGTCTGACTACGTCCATTTTGCTGTGCCATTATACCACCTTGGCAGCCCCTCTGCCGTCTTTCAGCGTGGCGATCAGTTCCTGAAGACTGCAATTCTTTAGATTCAGCTCTGCGAGTTTATCCTCTTCCTGGTCATTGTGTTCTCGTGCCTAGAAAAATACAGATATGTCTTAAAACTTTAGATTCATTTTTGTTAATCAACACGATCAATGCAAGTAAATTTTAATGCCAAGGTTTTGTTTCAAAGTTAGTTTACTTTATCAATATTTGGAACACTGTTAAAAAGAGTAAGCACAGACATTTTTTGTGAATGTGTAATATAAATCATCAAAAAAAAAAAATCTTCAATCGTCAGAGATTTGTGTGTTCTTGAGATCTTAACTAATAGCTTACTTGTAATTAAATAGTACATCTAACTTGTTCCATGACATTTCGATATTTTCCATAATCTCCTTTTTAACATTCTCTGTCTCTCTGTCTTTATGCTGCTTTTTAACCATTTTTCAATTTTTCTCATATCATAAGAAAATGTCAAACTTTTTTCAAGTTGTCTCTTGAGAACGCTGGTAATTTTGCCAGAATCAGGGCAAAACCCTTTCTTATTCCTGAAAGCATCTTTCACTTCTTCCAATAAATTTTTTCAAATGTTCTGGCATATCCTCATACATGTAAATGATATTTAAGTACAAAAGATCTTTATAGGTCAATTCACTTGCTGAAAAGTTTCCTGAATTAGAACTTGCAAGTCGACTCTTTAAGCAGTTTGAATCAACGTCATGCTCACTATAAGCACTATACTCTGATGTTTTTTTCTTCGCTGCATGGAGGCCTTACAGGAGCTTTGTGTTTCATGTTCCATGTCCTTTAAGAAAGAAATATTCCACATCAGAAATTTATATCTGAACAACAGGCATGCGGGCAATGACAACCATCCAAGTAACCCTGTTTTTGGGGGGAAAAAAAGGCTTAACTCTGGATTCCAGAAACAATCAAAGTACTGACACAATACTGAAAGATGGGGTCAATATAATAAACTTCATTATTTTACAAATTTTGTTACTGCATGGTGAAATCTTTTATCAGTCAGGGGTATGATGGAATCAAGTTATTTTTTAAAATAACTTGTTTAGGCTACTTCACTTATTTATAACTAAACAAAGAAATAACTCATTTGAGTTAATTCTTAAAAAGTAGAATGCCTATCAGTTTTGCAAAAAAACATTAATATTTTGAGTTTGCTGCTGATTTAAGATGATGTAAGGCTGAGAAAGTTGTAAATATATGTACTTCTTTTAATAGACTCAACAGACTTCATATCTCCTGAGCAGATAGGATGATATTTATCAAAATATCATGATCATATTTTTCAGGGAAAAATAATTCCATTTCATGAACATTTCGGAGGTCAATTACACAACTTCCGCCAATTTTGCCAACAGTGAGACTAATTTTCTTAAAATTCTTGGATATTACTGCACAATCTCTATGTCTTACATTTTTGTGCAAAGCTGTAGAATTTTGTGCAAGAGTTCTAATGTGATGTGGGTTAAGGATGAAATAACTGAAATTATGAAGTTATGATATGTTGAATTTCAGTGTGTTAAATTTTAAAGATAGATTACTTTTAGTGTCATGAACCTTTTCCATATACTTAATAACCCAAGTACAGAATGAATAAAGCTTTTCAGATGCCAGTAGGTTTACAATAATGAATAGTAAAGTATCAATAACAGGAAAAAGCATAATTAGGGAAAGATAACCCAAAATAATGACATTTAATAACTTAAACAAATTATTTAAAAAATAACTTGTTTCCATGATGCCCTTGACTGTTTATAAGGCTTTAAAACCAACTTAATTTTTTTAATGCATTTGATATTAGTTAAGAATAAAATAAAATTAAAATAAACATTGTGAAAATATATCTTCATGTTTTTCATTTTTGCTGTATTTGATCAATCCATAATCCTTAACAGGATGATGATGGGGAATATCAGAGTAGTCATTATAGGGGGAAATTCCCCTGCCCCCATGTCTTAGGGACAACCCTGTAATATGACTAATAATGGCTTTGCCGTTCTTATGAAGAAAATTTTATTGATACATACTATTAATATAATTCCTTTGTATAAATATGACCTCCTGTTATGACCCTTCTATACTGCTGAGGGGTCATGATTTTAACAAATTTGAATCTACATTACCTGAGAATGCTTACCCCATCTTACCCCAGGGATCATAATTTCAAAAAAAAATTTATTCTACATTACCTGTGGATGCTTCCTTATGAATATGTTCGATCATGGTTTTGCTGTTCTTGAGAAGAAGATTTTTTAAAGATTTATCCTATGTATTCCTTTGTAAAACTTTGATCCTCCTTTATTTCAACCAGACCCCCAGGGGTCATGATTTGAAAAAAATTGAATCTACACTGCCTAGTGATGATTCCAAATACCGGTAAGTCTCATATTTTCTAGTACATTGGTTTTTAAGAAGATTTTTAAATGATGCTATTAATGTTTCACCATTTGTAATTATCTCCCCTTGGCAAAAGAAGTGGCCATTCATTTGAAAAAAAAAATTGAATTGCCTTTACCCAATGATACTTTGTGGCAAGATTTATTAAAATTGGCCTAGTGGTTCTTTAAGAAGATTAAAATGTGAAAAGTTTATAATGACGACAGCAGACAACAGAAAATTTTGATCAGAAAAGCTCACTTCGGCTCAGGTGAGCTAAAAACCCCAGTAGAAATATTCTGTCTAGGCCTCACATCTGCTTTTGTGGTATTACAGTACTTAATGAGAAATACACTCTCAGGTACATAAATGTATTCAATCTACAAGATTTATCTTTTCTGGTTCAGCTGTTCTTGAGAAGATATTTTTTTAATAAATGACAAGGGTTGCTGGACACACTTCATTAAGAAAACCTCTGTGGAGATTTTGGCAGAGATCAGGTACCAATAGTTAGCAGGCAGACACCAGTAAGACTGACTCGAAAAAACCTCAACTTACAGTAAAAACCTTACCTTAACCTTGGTGAGCTAATAATTGTATAGGTTCAGCAGTGAAATATTTTACCCTTCATTGTGTTGCTCTTTATTTGAACAAATCTGAATCCTCTTCACCCCAGGATTGCTTTGTGGCAAGTTGAAATAGGCCCCAGTGGTTAATGTTATGGAGAAGAAGTTTAAAATCTCAAAAAGTTTACACATACTCAGCACAGGATAGATGTAATGATATTGAAACGTTTATCTTTTATTAACTTTGACATCTATAATTGTAGTAAAGTTGTGTCAATTAAATTTGGTTATCAACAAACTCTGAAACACTGAGTCAGCCTTTCCCATTGATATATGTTTCCTGTATTTTGCACGTGTTGTAATTCTATATGCTGAGCTTGCAATTATAATGCTGTTTTATAGTAATCGTTATCATCAATAAAGTTAGTTGAAAGTCAGAGTTTCTTGTGGTAACATTACAATAGACAGACACACAACTACCACTCTTTGAATAGAAAAAAGCTAATGACCTTCACCTGACCTTGTTCCTAAAATAAATCGATCAAATTTAATTTTACCACGTATCACTTTGTAATCACTTAGTAATGTCTTCTTGAATCTGTGAAAATTTGGTTAAATTTTAAATAAAATGAATTTGAAAAAAGAGTCCCTCCATAAGCCTTTGTCTAAAATTACTCACTTAAGTCTTTGTCTAAAGTAATAACTGACAAACCCATTATTATATCTTGTATCTTTATCCTCTTTATGATCACTTGCTGTCCTTTTCCGACTTCTGTCTGCTTCATTTGTCTCAGGTACCTTAAGAGACATTGGTTATCTACAAAATTAAATCACAAATTTAATGCCTAATCATTAATTAATGTCAACCTTATACACAAAGGCATTATATAGTATTTTTTCACTCCAATTTGTTAAGTCATGTATTGACATAAATCATGAAATATATTTCCTTAGACATTGAAGCACATAAGTTTGTTCAAGTATCTGCTTTGCATGACAAGCTTCACCTTTTGTGAAAGTGAAGAAAAGGGAGAAGAGAGATCAGAAAATGCCCAGTGCAGGATTTTCTGACTGATCAATCAGCCTGCAAACTTTTACATGAAAATACACAGTCCAATCCATTAAAAAACAGGCCGTTGGCCACATTCATCTGTTCCGAGCACCTAGGGTAAAATATTCTGGTGTATTGACTGATCAGACATGAAATAACTGCATACTATATGAGTAATAAATAGTGTTGATACTAAGGAGAATCATGCTTAAATTTGCACTATACAAGATTTTTCAGATCAATATCTTTACACTGTAAAAGAATTGTGAATCATCAGAATGGAGTCATCCTTACCTTAGCACACGTGTCTGGATAAAAATGAGACAGCTACTGATCGTTTTTATTGTAGTAAATAGTTCCCTGTCTTTCCCGTGTTTCCCAGAAGACGGTGAACTTCACGGTGAAGACCATGTCAAGCTGCATGTCAATCGGGATCGGAATACCAATATTTGCTTCCTGTGTGTACTTTCGGTTTACCGTTTACAATTTTTATTTTTACTCCATATGATATCTGCGTAAAGTGGACGTTAAGATCATGGCCAGTTTAAGAAAATTTTCTGCTCACCTGCTCAGAACACGAATATGTCATCCAATGTTGCTTGACCGATGTGACAGTTACAAGTTTAGATCGGTTACACCTGTAAAATATCTGACAAATTCAGTACAAGGAAATCAACAGTGTTACACATTAAATATGTCAAAGGTAATTATGATTGATAAAAATATTAACTTGTTCCACTGTAAAATGTTCTAGTTGTAGGTGTACAAACTCCAGATTTATTTGATTTTAGAGTTATTTTCACAGGCACTTGTACGAAACAAGTGCCTGTGGTTATTTTGCAAAATTATATATAGTGTTTGTATCTTTTAATTATAGTTAGTAAATTTGATTTTAAGGGGGCCGACTGGGGTTTTCATTGCGCAATACTTCGCGCAGCATAGTAAAATAAAGCGTATTTACTCTTTTAAAGCAACTAGTTTTACATAATTTATAAAAAATAACAAATTTAGGAAATATGAGGTCAAAAAATCTTATTACGTTTTTAATTAACTGATTTTTTTAACGATTTTTCAAATGATGGGTAGAAAGACGTCGTAATAGTGTGTTTTTGACGTTATGAATAACCGAAGTTCTTAGCGGGGTCATTAATTATGCCATAAAATAAAAAGTATAAAATGTATGCTCTTGGAATTTTAAACATAGGAAATTGAGAATATAGCAATCATTGTTACTATTTTTTATGTAAATCTGTGGCATCTGTCATGTTTTGTTTTACTCCATAAAAACAGGAAAATATCATGAATTTTGACATTTTGAGATGCCCCCTCTGGAAACCAGACGGTAGAATTTTGTGTTTCTTGCACAAAATGTACAATATAGTATTAACCATCAAATAATAAAATTTGAGCAAAAAGTCTATAGTAGTATTTGTATAATTTGCTCCGAAGTGCCAAAAAATGGTATTTTCCTATATAATCCTATAGTAAATGTACCCGTATTTTGAGACGGTCCCTGAAAAATAACCAGATGGTAGATTTTCTCTAAACTTGGCATGTATACTGAAGTCAATGTAAGGTATATAGGGTATAAAATTAAAGAGTTTCTCTATAGTAGTTTTCACACAATAAAACCCCAGTCGGCTCCCTTAACTGATTAGTGGATAACTTGATTTTTTTCTCATGTAAATTAAAGGTACTAAACTTTAATTATGATACATGTATCTTTGAATTGCTACCTCTGTACATTTATGACTGACATTCTAAAAATATTTTATTTTATTTATTCATTTCTTTATTTTTGCCTGCAACACAGTGATAACAACTACATATAATCTCTTCTTTTTGTCAACAGTATTATACAACAAGTAGACCTCTCTTATCTGACGAGGTTAAAAAGGCCCAGGGGGCAAAGAGGAGGGGAGAACCAACCATTTTCTCTAAGATTGTCGATAAGTCAATCCCAGCAGATATCATTTATGAAGATGAACTGGTTTGTTGATTAAGCTTTTTGCCATACATGTATATTGGCTGTTGTAACATGTACCGTAGACTCAACTCAGTCAAGTGAGCTTTTCTAATGAAATTCTGTCAGTCTGTCTGACTGTATAGTTTGTTAAATTTTCTTCTTGACTTTGGGTTACTGCAGAAAAAAATCAATTAGATCCCTGTCCAGCAGTCCAAAATTTATCTTTGCTCAGGCTTTGCTTTAAGAGGTTGCTGCAGTCACTAAAACTAACATCTAAGGTTCATTCGTAGTTATCAATGTTATCAGTAATAGAGATTGTACTACTCCATTTTGAAATTGTATTTTAGGAATAGGTAGTTTAAAAAAAAAGTTACATGAACAAAGTAGAATCTTTGATTGCATGATTGCAGAGATTTGTAACATTAGAAGGAAAAAAAAATAGTTCAAGACAGACGGAAACCAAAGAATCTGTAACCATCATGGTACATGTAACCATGAATGTCCAAGATACAGTTTATCTGAAGCATGTTACTTTGTAGCATAAGTAGATTTATTTTATTGAATTGATAAAGATGATCATCAAACTATAATTTGATTTCTTTGATTGTTTTATGTTCTGCTTATTTCTGTAATTCTATTTTTAGTGCCTGGCTTTCCGAGATGTTTCACCACAAGCCCCTGTGCACTTTTTAGTGATTCCAAAGTCCCCAATACCAGGAATCAGTGATGCAGTCATACAGAATAAAGAGGTCAGATAACTCATAGTTTACACTTGTGAAATTTTACAATATGTTCAGCTGAAGGCTCAAGTGAGCTTTTCTGATCTTGTCCGTTGTCTGTCGTTGTTGTAAACTTTTCACAATTTCATCTTCTTCTCCAGAACCACCGGGCCAATTTCAACCAAACTTGGCACAGAGTATCCTTGGGTGGAAGGGATTCAAGTTTGTTCAAATGAAGGGTCATGCCCTCTTTCAAGGGGAGATAGTTACAAATTAGTCAAAAATTAATGGCATCTTTTAAAAATCTTCTCCTAAGGAACCACTAGGCCAGGAAAGATGAAACTTATGTGGAATCATCCTCAGGTAGTGTAAATTCAATTTTATTCAAATCATGACCCCCGGAGTAAGGGTGGGGCCACAATTGACAAGCAAATTTTTACACAGGAATATACAGGAAAAAATCTTTAAAAGTCTTCTTCTCAAGAACAGCAATGCCATGATTGGTCATATTTATATGGTAGCATCCTCAGGTAGTGTAGATTCAGATTTGTTCAAATCCTGACCCCTGGGGGTAGGGTAGGGCCACAATGGGGGAGCAAAGTTATATATTGTAATACATAGGAATTTTTTAAAATAATGTCAAGAACAACAAAGCTATGATTGGTCATATTTATGTGGTAGCATCCTCAGGTAGTGTAGATTCCAGTTTGTTCAAATCATGACCCCCAGGGGTAGGGTGGGGCCACAATATTAGAACAAAGTTGTACATAGGAATATATAAGAAAAATCTTGAAAAATCATGTTGTCAAGAACAACAAAATTATGATTGGTCATATTTATATGGTAACATTCTCAGGTAGTGTAGATTCCATTTTATTCAAATCATGACCCCCGGGGGTAGTGTGGGGCCACAATGGACGAGCAATGTATTACATAGGATATATAGGAAAAATCTTCTCATGAACAGCAAAGCCTTGATTTGCCATTATCTATTTGGAAGCATCCTCAGGTAGTGTAGATTCCAGTTTGTTCAAATCATGACCCCCGGGGGTGGGGCCACAATGGTCTAGCAAAGCTATTTATAGGAATACATAGGATTTCTTTTTTTTAAATCTTCTTCTCAAGAACAGCAAAGCCATGATTAGTTATATGGAAGCATCCTCAGGTAGTGTAGATTCAGATTTGTTCAAATCATGACCCCCTGGGGTAGAGTGGGACCACAATGAAAGTTCAAACTTATAGGAAAAAAGCCACAGTTTGGCAAAGAAATGTATAAGCATCCTTAGCATTAATTCAAGTTTGTTTAAATCATACCCCCTCCTTTTTAGGGGTAGGTCGGGGCGACTTATGCATTTATACTTTTTAAAACTGAACTTATTTCTGCTTATTTTCTAGCCACAGTGCTCAGGTGAGCGATGCGGCCATGGGCCTCTTGTTTTATTATTATAAAGTGGTAGGAGGTGTACCTTATTCACCTTGTATGTTTGTCTGTCTGTATATCTGTCTTCTCAAGGTTTGGCTCAACATGGATATCAGTTTCTGGATTATCTCAGAAGTTTAATAAGCCACCTTATTGTGCTGATACATGTATGGTACATCTACTGAAATTTTACTTGTAATATAATGCAAGCTCCTTATGCTGCATTTGACCTACATTTAACAAATGCTTCAGTGACTAGTTATGAAGTTAAGAGTTAAGGCCTGTTCCTGGCCTATTACCAGTGGTAATAATATTAAACTAGTACTCATGGCAGATAATTCTTTACATGTTCACCTTAAAAAAAATCAGCTGCTGCAACTGACTTTCTTTTTTTTTTTTTTAGCTCATCTGGGCTAAAACCTCAAGTTAGCTTTCCTGATTACATTTTGTCTGTCTGTCTGCTAAATTTTCATATTTTTGACTTCTTCTCCAGTGGCCTGTTTCACAAAAGAACTTAGACCAAAAACATAAGTTGTTTGTAAAATTTTGCAAAATCAATTATTTTGTTTAAAATTGCTAGCTTAAAAGTATCTTTCTACATTACTTTTAAAAAGATTAAAACCATTTTAATGTAAATTAGAAAGTTATAAGCGGAATTCAATTTTGGTCTCTGTCATAAGTTTTTTTTGTAAAACGAGCCCCAGAACTAACCACTGGGCCAATTTCAATCAAACTTGCTACAAAGCATCTTTGGGTGAAGAGGATTCAAGTTCGTTCAAATGTAGGGAAACGCCCACTTCTAAGGGGAGATAATTAAGAATTAGTGAAAATTAGGTGGAATCTTTTAAAACTCTTCTGTAGAACTGTTGGCCAAAAAAGTTGAAACTTATGTGAAACCTACACATAGTGTAAATTCAAGTGTGTTTAAATGATGACCCAGAGGATAGGGTGGGGCCACAATGGGGGATCAAAGTTTTACAAAAGAATATATAGGCAAAAATCTTTAAAAATCTTCTTCTCAAAAACAACAAAGCCATTATTAGTCACATTGATACAGAATCATTCCCAGGTAGTGTAGATTCCAGTTTGTTCAAATAATGTCTCCCAGGTGTTGGGTGGGGCCACAATGGGGGATCAAATTTTTATATAGAAATATATGGGAAAAAATCTTTAAAAATCTTCTTTTCAAGAATAAATTAGTCATATTGATATGGAATTCCAAACTATGTGAAAGCTTCCTGAGGGGTTGTAGATTCTAAATCAAGACATGGCCCCGGGGTAGGGTGTGGCCACAGAAGGGGATCAAAGGTTTACTTGGGACTTTATAGGTAATAAATTTTGAAAAATTTTCTTAAGAACTACAATTGTGCCACACATATGCAAACATTCCTAAGCTGAGTGGATCTAATTTCTTTTTTTCAATTTATGCCCCATTTGTTTGAGTAAGATAAAACAGGGATAAAATTTAATTACCTTATACAGGAAAAAAAATCATCTTAATAACTGCAAAGCCAAGTTAATTCAAATGATATTGTAGCATCCTCAATGTTGTTTGGATTCAGAGACCCTTAGAGTTAGAGAGGGGTTATACATGTAATATAGGGTCAATGATTATTTTTCATGGGTATATAAAACTCTTTTTTTTTGGCAATCTGAAAAGCAGTAGAGCTAAAATTACTCAGGTGAGTGTATTGGCCCATTGGCCTATTTTTATGCTCACTGGCTTGTTTGAGGGTCAAACTGTACATAAATGTTCATTCTCCACTAATATTATGATAATTATCAAAATAAGCCTTAAACTTGTGGTGCATCCTTATCCATTTGTGTTTTTTATGAAGCATGTATTGTTTACTTCATCTGCTTGACTTTTTATGTGTGATTGACTCTTATTATTAAAGAACAGCATATATATGTAACATACATGTATTGTTAGAATTATCAAACTGTGTCTCAGAACAGGCCCTCATTTAACTGGGTATGTAGGACATTTATCATTTTAACGATAGAACATTCTATATCCAATACATGTAGGCATGTTTTAACATATCTTAGGTGATACAAAAACCAAACAGACATATTGTACTTACATAAATACTCTATTTTCTTGATGCAAAATATAACTGACATGGATTTCATGCTTGATCAACTTGAGTTGAAAATAACAATTAATTTTCATCTGAAACAGTTAAATAATCTACTTAATCCAGTCCTACATTTTTAGCTCACCTCGACGAAGTCTTATGCTATACCCCCTGCGTCGGCGTCAGTGTCAGCGTCGGAGTTAGCGTCGGCATCCCGGTTAAAGTTTTAGGAGCAAGTCCCATTCCTAAGTATCTATTAGCCCTACCTGAACCAAACTTGCATGGATGATGCAACTAGGGATGGACACTACCACACTTGATTCGGATGATAAATCTGACCTAGATTTTCCAGATGAGTGACCAGGTTAAAGTTTTTGGAGCAGGTCCATTCCCAAGTAACTATTAGCCCTCCCTGGACCAAACTTGCATGGATGATGCATCTAGGGATGGACACTACCACACTTGCTTCGGATGCTGGATCTGACCTAGATTTTCCAGATCATTGACCAGCTTAAATTTTTAGGAGCAGGTCCATTCCCAAGTAACTTTTAGCCCTAACTGGACCAAACTTGCTTGGATGATGCATCTAGGGATGGACACTACCACATATGGTTCAGATGCTGGATCTGACCTAGATTTTCCAGAGGAGTGACCAGGTTAAAGTTTTTGGAGCAGGTCCATCCCAAGTAACTATAAACCCTTAACCTTGACCAAACTTGCATGGATGATGCATCTAGAGATGGACACTACCACATTTGCTTCAGATGCTTGATCTGACCTAAATTTTCCAGATGAGTGACCAGGTTAAAGTTTTTGGAGCAGGTCCATTCCCAAGTAACTATTAGCCCTCCCTGGACCAAACTTGCATGGATGATGCATCCAAAGGATGAGCACTACCACACTTGCTTCGGATGCTGGATCTGACCTAAATTTTCCAGATGAGTATCCAGCTTAAAGTTTTTGGAGCAGGTCCGCTCCCAAGTAACTATTAGCCCTCCCTGGACCAAACTTGCATGGATGATGCATCCAAAGGATGGACACTACCACACTTGCTTGGGATGCTGGATCTGACCTAGATTTTCCAGATGAGAGACCAGATTAAAGTTTTAGGAGCAGGTCCATTCCCAAGTAACTATTAGCCCTCCCTGGACCAAACTCGCATGGATGATGCATCTAGAGATGGACGCTACCACATTTGCTTCAGATGCTTAATTTGACCTAAATTTTCCAGATGAGTGACCAGGTTAAAGTTTTTGGAGCAGGTCCATTCCTAAGTGACTATTAGCCCTCCCTGGACCAAACTTGCATGGATGATGCATCCAAAGAATGGACACTACCACACTTGCTTTGGATGCTGGATTTGACCTAGATTTTCCAGATGAGTGACCAGATTAAAGTTTTAGGAGCAGGTCCATTCCCAAGTAACTATTAGCCCTCCATGGACCAAACTTGCATGGATGATGCATCCAAAGGATGAGCACTACCACACTTGCTTCGGATGCTGGATCTGACCTAAATTTTCCAGATGA